TTATTCACAAAAATAAAAAATAATATTCTCAAAATTGCAAATTATTTTTAATAATAATGATTTTTACCTCAATCTCAAGAATAATTTTTAAATGCTTAGAATTCAGTCTACACAATAATTACAAGATTTATTAAATGTTGGTTGTCATTCTACATAATAAAGAATAAAACAAAATTAGCATAAATTACACACATCAAATTAAATGAATTTGACATCTTCCTACTATTCTTGTGAAGGAAGAATACTTTCATATTTAAATTATGCACATCCTATAAATTTAATGATTTGATAGCAAACCTTGATTTCCTCCAATTTTAACACTCATAGATGAATTGAATGAATTTTATAACAATATACAATTTTTAATATAAAAAAAATAAAATAATTTTTTCTCAATCTTAAATTTATTATTCATTTGCTTTTGTAGTAATTTAATTTTTTTTGTTTTATACACAAGTTAAATTTAAGAAACGAAGTAATAACTTTCAATTTATTTTTTTAACTGTTGAATCACAAATTGCTTGTAGAAGTCTGCTACATATTTATTCTTTTGCATGTTATCCTTGATCTTGCATCAATTAAAGAATTGAATTTTCATTTTTCTAAATAATTTCATCAACTAATTCTAATAATTAGTATCTTTCCAATCCTGTGGAACTTTTAATTCTTAGATTAAATTACTAAAATAACACTTATTTTCAACCACAATTAAATAATCTAATTGAACTTGTTCATTTTATGAACAATATATAATACACGCATCTAAATAAAATTTGCATTCCTTTGAGATAATTTTTTTTCTCAAATATCTAAGCTTTATTTTAAAGTTTTATAAATTGAGAATCATTATTCTAAATTAAATACCTTAATCCCATTAATGAAATTTTTAATTTAATTATTATAATTGTAAATGAGCAAAAAATAAATATTCGATAAAATTTATATACATATTAATTATGTATAATTTTCACAATTAATTTATTTATTCTATATATTCTTCAAAACTCAAGCTATTCAAATGTTTATATGATTTAAATTTCTTGATATTAAATAAATAGCAATCTAAATATAATTTTCATAATGTCTTTTTATTATTTTATTTTTAATGAATAAGATTTTATTGATTCTCAGAATAAA